GTGGTAGCTCTGCAGTGGGCTCGGTTATTTCACCCTCCTGTTTATAGGAGGTTTCAGAGTTCCTGGTGAATCAGATCAGAAAATTTCCAACCATTCTTCCGATTCCAAACAGTATCCATATGAAGTCTGTTCAAAGTGCACATTTAATTATCTTAGGCAGCCTTAAAGCAGAAAACAAGTCAGAAAAGGCCAACAAGAAGGTGTGAAAGGAAAAACATCCAAATCAAGAAGGAATGTTAAAGGCTCTTAAGTGTGTCAGTGCCCATGCCCCTCCCCGCCCTCCCACTTTCTTTAAGTGCCAAAAGACATCTTTCTTTTTCCTTCACCAATTCTCCCTTGGGGGGCACTGTCTACCCACTATCATGGTAGAAGTAAAATACTGTTCCCCTGGATTGTCAGCCCCAGAATAATCACTCCTTCTTGCTATCTCTTATGGAGGATTCTGCCTGGTTTATTCCTTAATGTAATATATAAAATAGCAGGCCTGGGTTTTTCTTTGTTTTGTTTTGTTTTTAAGTATCCTTCTTTAAAAAAAAAAATTACATACTGATTTTCTTCTCTCTCCAATGCCTCTGTACTTCTTGGCTTCTCCCCATCTATCGCCCTTTCCAAGGGTCTGGTCATAGCCCAAATCCACTCTCCATCTGCCTTTTGCTTTTTAAACCCCTTTCATCTCCTCTTTAAAAATTCAAACATTAGCAATTAATGAAATCTATGATGTGCTGTGCCCTGGGATACTAAATGGAATGAATCAAAGTAAAGAACTACCCTCAAGGAAACTACAGTCTAACTTAAGATAGTATAATGTGATACATTTCATACAGATGTATTTATCAAGTAACAGCACAAAGGAGGAAATAATTAATTCTTCCTGAAAAGTGTTAGAAGTTTTGAGCGGGATCTAAAAAAGAAGCAGGGCTCCAGAAGAAAATGTGTACACTTTTTAAAAAATATGTTTTTATTGATTTTTTTTTTTAGAGAGAGAGGAAGGGAGAGAGAGGCAGAAACATTGACATCAGAGAGAAACATCAATCTGCTGCCCCCGGCATACTCCCCATTGGGGATAGAGCCTGGATCCCGGGAATGTGCCCTGATCAGGAATCAAACTGGGACCTCTCAGTCCATGGAATGATGCTCAATCCACTGAGCCACAATGGCCCGGCAATGTGTATACTTTTTTTATTTTTTTCAGCAACCATGTAGGAATATCTCCTTCATATGAAGCCTGAAGCAATGGAGCTACAGGTGTGAGCAAGGTTCCTGATCTCAAAATGCTTTCAGCATAGAAAAGGAGTTTTAAAATGTATCCAATCCTAATAACAACAATATAGTGCATACTGGGCCATGGATACTTACAGAACAAACTGCCATACGAGTTCATAGAGAGATGTTTAAAAGAACATTTCTCCCTGAGTGTAGTAGAAGAAATTCTAAGATAGTCCTCAAGATTCCTGGCCACTGGTATACATGTCCTGCATAATCCCTGGGACAATGAATATGATGAATTTTACTCCTGTGATTAGTTTATGTTATATGGCACAGTTGTCCTTAAGTAGGAAGTTTATCTGGGTGGAGCTGACCTAATTAAAAATGTTTTAAAAGTTGAGAGTCTTTTCTGACTGGTTGAAGAAGGGGATATTTGAGATTCAAAAAGTGAGTGGGATTTGATGTGAGAGAGGTTCTCTGTTGATGAGATGGAGGGAGCCATGTTTTTAGGAATGTCTGCATATTTTTATTACATGTCTACACATGTCCCTAAACAAAATTAGTATTGTTTTGCTTATTTTTAAGTGTTACATGTGGCATCATGCTGTTATCTCTTTTGTTCAATGTGTGTCTAAGATATTTTCATATTATATGAAAGGGATTACCAAATTTTTTTAATGAATGACCAGAGAGCAAATATTATAGGCTTTGCAGGATATAAAGCCCATTGTAGCACCAAAACAGCCATAGAAAGCCTGACTAGATTCCAATAAACCTTTATAGTCATGTGCCACATAATGACATTTTGATCAACAGGGACCAAATATATGACAGTGGTCCCATAAGATTATAATGAAGCTAAAAAATTCCTGTTGCCTAGTGATTTTGTAGCTGTCAAAATGCAGTAATGCAATGCATTATTCACGTGTGTGTGGTGATGCTCGTGTAAATAAACCTACCGTGCTGCCAGTCACATAAAAGGATAGCACATACAATTAAGTGCAGTACATTCTAGATAATAATAACTATGTTCCTAATTTATGTGTTTACTATACTACACTTTTTATTGTTATTTTAGAGAGTACTCTTGCTATTTCTAAAACAATGTTTGCTATAAAATAATACACTGTGTTACACCAGCAGCAGCCTTATACATCTCATGTTTACCCCCATCTTGATTGCATCATTTTCTTTTGTGCTTCATTTAATCTCATGTTGTTTTCAAGATTAATAAAAAAAAATACTTTCATCGGCTATGGATACATTTTTGTTCATGTGAAAGGAACTACTCAGCACCTTAGGGGAACTTCTCTTCAAAGGCAGTTTTCCAGACAGCAGAGGTGTTCATACAATTATTTTCCTTCTCAATGCCTAAAGGGCCCTAGAAGTATATGAAGGATACCCTGGGCTGGGTAGCCTTTGAGGATCTCTGTCAGGATCCTATACCCACACACTGTTTTATTGACAACCTCTTCCTTTACTCTAATTTGCCTCCCTGACTTGACTGGTTCTCAGAAAATGGGCAATAAGGAGAGGGAGGTAACAGTGTGCTGGCGTCGGAAAGAGTGACAGCATCCACAGCAAACATAAGCAAAATCCTCACTACACAGGACTGAGTGGAAATAAAGGAATAAAACACTCACCTTAGTGCTTGCCTGTCAGATGGTGAGGCAATACCAAATTAGGAATAAAAAAATCCAGAGTCAAATGGGTCCTAGCTCTGCTGCTCACTGTTTCTATCTGCCTAGAATTCCTGTGCCTTGTGAACTCATTCCTCAAGGCCTGACTACTGGGATCTTGAAAGCTCTTTCTGAAATGCAAATCTGATTAAGTCATTCCCCTACTTAAAACTTCAATAGCTTCTTATTGTCATAGCAGGCATTCAGAAAACTTTTGGTCTCAGGACCCCTTTCCATTCTTAAAAATTATTGAGGATTCCGAAGAACTTTTTTATGTGCACTTGGTTACTTCTACCAATATTTACCATATTCGAAATTAAAACTTAGAAATTTCTAAAACTTTATTCATTTAAAATTTACAATGAACCCATTACATGTTAACATAAATAAACTGTAATGAAAATATGTTTTATAAAACAAAATATTAATGAGAAAAGTGTTGTCTTACATTTGTGTAAATCTCCTTAACTCCTGGGTTTTAAAAAGACAGCTGGGGTGGCTGGTATGGCTCAGTTGGTTGAGCATCGGTTCTGTGCACCAGGAGGTCTCCTCAGGGTACATGCCCGGTTGCGGGTTTGATCTCCAGTAGGGGGCGTGCAGGAGGCAGCGGATCGATGTTTCTATCCCTCTCCCTTCCTCTCTCTGAAATCAATAAATACATATATATTTTTTAAAAGACAGCTGGATTCTACAATCTGCTTCTGCATTTAACCTGTTGCAATATCTTATATACTATATTCTTTGGAAAACCTTCACCAGTGAGAGAACGAGAGTGTAAAAAAGCACGTTTAACATTGTTATGAAAAAAATTGTGAGCCACTGACCCCTGGAAGGAATTCAGGGACACCCAGGGGTCCCAGCACCACACCATGAAAACCATTGGCCCACAAAATAAATTCTAAATTAGACATATAAGGGCATTCAACGACCTTCCAGACAAACAAGGACCTCCGCGTTCTGGCTTCCTTTTCCCTGTCCAACTTCAGCAGCAGCATCACCATACCCAGGTCTCCTATACTCCCGCCAGACCAGCCACAGCAGCCCACCAGACAGGACGGTCTCCAAGCCTTGGCACACGTCCCGTTCTCTGCCTGAAATGAGCTCCCCTTGCAGACTCTTTCAAGAGCTCCACTGAACGTGTTCGAGTCTGGATCGCCGCCTTGGACCCGCTCACAGCTGACTATCCCTGAGACAGAGCACAGGCTCTGCAGCCAGCGAGGCTGGAGATGCAGCTCCGCTCAGTCCGTGACTGGCTGGCTGACCTTGGACGCGTAGCTTCACCTCCCGAGCTTGCTTCTTCAGGGCTAACACAGGGCTCTCGGGGAGGAGGTGGCGGTGAACCAGAGGAGTGCAGCCAAGAGTGCTAACGGGCACCCAAGAACGACCCTGGGACCTGCTGAGTGGGGGGGCCGATGAAGGGCACGGGGGCTTACTCACTCGCTAGATCCCCCCACCGCTCCCTGGGCTCTACAAGCAGGAACTTACTCTGTCCTCACCCTTTCTCTGGGCTGAGCGCCATGGCCTTAGAGACGAGGGCCCCGGGGCAGAGGTGCGAGGATCGCGCTCAAGGGCATCCGGCACACAGCTGGTCCTGAGCCAGGCGGGCAGCGCCTCGCACCGGCCGGCCTGTGGGGCCGAGCCCTGGCCGCTCTCGAGTCCGTCATCTCCCGCACCGGCCCTCGCGTGGCCTCGGGGCGAGGGACACGCGGCGGCGGGATTTGAACCCGAGGCCCCGGGCTCTCTTCAGGGCTGGGTTTACCCATACTTGAGACGCTGCGAGGAGCGCCGGTCAGGGGGCGGAACCGGGCCCCCGGGCGGAAGGCGGGAGGCAGCGGGGACAGCGGGGCTCGGCCGCCCTGCGGCGCCCTCACACCCCGCCCCGCCCCCACCCGCGCGCGGGCCTAGCGGGCGAGGCGCACGCCACCTCGCGGCGGGAGGGGCAGGGGCGGGGCCGGCAGCCACCGCCCCGCCCCCGACGCCCCCCGGCCCGAACGGCGCGGGAGCCGCGGCCGCTGCAGCCTGGATCGAGCCCCGCGCCGCTCGCCTGCTCGCCGCCCTCGGGAGCCGCCCCCACCCGCCCCTTTCTCGCGTCCTGTCTCGCTCCCTACGCAGGGGAACATGGCGGCGGGAAGGGAGTGAGCGCCTCCGCGCTGCCCCGCGCCCGCAGGTAAGCGCCTCGGCGGCCGCCTCCACCGGCCGGAGAGTCCGCTCGCTGAGGGGCCTGGTGACCGGGGCCGCCCCGGGCGAGGCGGCGGCGGCGGGACCTGCTGGCCCTCTGCTCCCGCCCCTCCGGACCCGGCTGTCGGTCTGTGTCTGTCGGGGCCGGTCGGCCTGTCGGTGGTCCGAGCGCGGCCGCGGCCCTTCCCCACCTTGTCAGCCCGGCCCGGAGCCCCGGCGGCCGGTTCTGCATCCGCGGCGGGGCCGGCGGGTCCCAGCGTCCGGCCGGCGGCCTGACGCGGTGGGGGCACCCCGGGGCCCCGGCACCAGGAACCCAAGGACGAGGACCCTCGGGGGTTCGGCAGCGCGGGGCGGTCGGTGCGGGAGCCGCTGTGTCCGGGCCGGCGCGGCCGGGTTGGCCGGGGAGGGCTGGCTTCGAGCCGAAGACGGCGGGCAGAGTGGTTGTCAGTCTGCGCGCGGGGCTGCTGGGTCTGCGCGGACGCCAGAGCTGAGAGGTGCCTGTGGCTCCGGGTCCCGGTTCGGGGCAGAGCACCGAGGTCGGCGGGAGGCTTGGCCCAGCCGCAGGCCCACGGTGCGAGGGGCCCGAAGCGGTAGCAGTGGTCCTGCGGGCGGGAGCTGCGCGGGACAACTCACACGTGCGCTGGAAACCCGCGCGAGTGTAGGTTTCACACTCCGGACCGTGGGGTGAGGGCGCTGGGCACCCAGGTGAGCAAGTTGCCAGGAGGGCTGGACACGTGGGCAGTGCTGTGGGCCAGTCCCGAGAGGAATGCGAAAAGCTCTACAGGCGATGGCCAAACCCCAGAACATCTCCAGACTGGAAGGGAATTTAGAGGTCATCTAAGGTCCCTTTCTCCCATCCCATGCCAGCGTAGCTTTGAAAATCCCAAATTCCACCCTGGTTATTTGACCAACCTGTTTAAACACCTCCTTCAGTGATGGGAAACTAATGTCTTCCCAAGGAAACCCATTCTCTTCCAGGACAGCTTTGGTGTGTGTCTATATGGTTGCAAGAAACACCTTCCCATTCTTCCTAGTTCTCTTCCCTTATGGACAACCTTTTGAGATACCTGAAGATAGTAATCATATCTCTGGAGTCTTCTCTTCCCTAGTTCTGGATTATTGTATGTTGTGGTTCGCTGATCCAGTCTCTGAATGAGCTCTAGTTTGCCAATATCCCCCCTTAAAGGAGAGCTTCTTAACGTGAGTGAGAAAGTATTGTTTCTCCAAGAAGCTCCTTGGCCCCAAGGATTGACCTGCTTAAATAAAAAGTACTCTAGTTCCTTCCTCCTTTCTGTGCTGTTTTGCTCTAAACAAACAAAAGCCCTCTAGTACTTCTGTTCAAACAAACTAAAAGAGGTCCTATTTTGTAGACATTTTTGGCTTTTCACTCATTTTTTTAAATGTCTATAAACACTTTATCAAATGAGCTAATGGATATCAAAGTGTCACAATACTCCATGCAAATGGAAGAGTTTATTAATTTTACTTTGAAAAAGGATTGAAACTCAGTCTGGTGCCAAACTGCAATTTAATATTTAGTGGGAAAGGGTAATGCTTTTTTATATTGAACTCTATGCTCAATTTCTAACTACCATCAGAAGGCACAACATTACTATTGAAAAGAATGTATTTTGGTGCTCACTTACCAGCATTATTTTTTACTTGCTTTTTCATCACTTAGCCTTGGTATGTGGGTTAAGTTTTTAAAAAGGGTCTTTTACCAAGGTGCTAAAACCCTGCCTAAGCACCCTATTGATTAGTGATTTTTTAAGCTCAGAAGAGCTGTGACGGCCTTGTAACCCTGTTCTAATTCTAAGCAAAGTTTTGCTGTTTTCATAATAGATAAGCACATAACAGCAGTCTGAATTGGTTCTTTATCCTTGTTTTTATGTCTTAGTTTTTTAAAGTTGTTTAGTGGTTTTGAAGTTGTAGCATACATGTCAAGTTTTGATTTCTGGTATGTAAGTTGGATAAACATCTGTATAACACCATTTTGTACACAACTGTACAGCTCCAGGAAGGCTCTGGTTCCATCCCTTCAAAGGACTTGGGGTTAATAGTAGGAAATCGTAAAAACTATGAGAAAGAACTGGTGTGAATATTCCACTGAAAATTTAAGTTGAACATGTTCTAACCTTTACATTTATGCATCTACTGTGTGTCAGGCACTAGGTCATGTACTGCGTTTAGCTGGATATACAAAGATGAATAAGATACATTTCCAATCTTTGTGCTACCATATAAATTAAATGCTAAAATAGGTCATCTCAGAATAAGAGATAAGAGCTATGCATATAATACTCCAAGGTTAGGGTGCTTAGTCTAGCCTAGGACTTTAGGGAAGGATTTGGGAAGAGAAGACACCTGACCCAAATCTTAAATGGTAAGTAGGAATAAGTCAGGCAAAGATGAATGAAAGTGTACTTCAAACAGAGAAAACATCGTGAGGAAAGTCATCAATGTGAGAAAAGGAATATCTTGCATGGAGAATCAAGCAGTTTGGAACTGCTAAGAATACAAAAGTGAAGACATAAGTGGTAAATTGAGAGACTGGAAATACAGGCAGAAGCCATATCATAATAGACCTTGTATGTATAAGTATCTTGAAAATAATTTAGTGAGTGATTTTTTAAAAAATCACTGAAAGGTTTTTTATCAGACATGGTTGAATAGCATCTTTTAAATGTGGTCACAGGGATGAGGAGAAAGGAATGAAAGGTTTATGACTGATAGGATATGCAGTTGAGAAGGTGAGGAGTCCAGCATGATGCTCAGGTTTTTTGTTTGGGTGATTAGGAGGATAGTGGTGACGTTAACTGAGATAGGAAACACTGGATGTCATCAGTTTTGGACTTGAAGATTTTGTGATTTCTTGAGTTAGGTCAGTGAGCAAATGTGGTGGAAGTAAGTTACGGAAAAAAGGAGATTGTGTTCAGAAAGTGGAATATTGGAGTGAAGTTGTCTGATGTGAAGCTGTTGTAGGTCTCTGTATGGGTAGCTTAAGTACAGCAGAGGTGAAGGCCAATGAGGTATGATAAACTGTGAGGCTATTTTATTTTATTAAATGGGTCTTCTGTGTGGATAGTGAAGTGATTTAAGATGCTAGAATGTGTGGAAGGGAGACTATTGTGACCCAGGTGCAGTGAATATAGGTGATTAATCCAGAGGGTGATAGATAACACATGAGGAGAAGGGTAGAGAGTGATACAGCCAGATGGCATAAACCTCAAAGGAGGAGGAGTTTTTAAACATGAGAGTGGAAAAGTAATCGTTTTTTACTTTTCTTTCCTGTAAGCAGGCGTCTGATCGCTTCATCTTTATTCAAGACACATGTTAATCATTCTTTTTGCACTGAAGAATCTATTCTTAGTCTTGGAAAGTAGAAGGGCAAATACTCTACATCAAATCTTTTCTGCTAATTCTTAATGACAAAAGCTATGGAGATTTTTTCCTGATGATTAGTGGGTGGACAGGATCTATCTAGGCTATGTCACTTACTGGCCTTAGGACTGTAAGAAAATTGTGTAACCTCTGTGACTTCCAGTGTCCTTATCTGTAAAAATAAATAAATTTCTCTTCTTAGGGTGGTACAAAGATATATGAAATAATGCATGTTTGTGTGTGTGTGTGTGTGTGTGTGTGTGTGTGTGTGTGTGTGTAACTAGTTGGCGCTTCATAGATACAAAATAAATGTTAGTTCTCTTCCAACTATCTTTAAGGAACTTCACTTGTGCTGACAGAATTGAAGTTTTTTTCATGCTCAGTCTAAACGATAAGGCAATAAGTAGTTTACAGGAGGTAAAAGCAAAGTGATATAGGAATTCAGAGGAAGGAGCCATCATTCTCAACATTTGGAAACAAAGTTAGACGTCACACTCAAGATGAATTTTATTTGGGCCTTGGAGAACAAATTTCAATAGATTAAATAATTTAGGTGAAGATACAAAGTAGGGAAAGTATAAAATACATTTGTTAAAAATTGGTTGTTGCCCCAGGTTTGAATATTCTATTTGTGTAAGTCATTAGTGAGAATTGTGGCTAGGGAGATGAACTGGGGCCATGGTATTGAAGACCTGAAACTATAGAGTGTGGACTTGATTCTAGATATGCTAGGGAAGTATAAATGGTACATCCTTTCTCACTATAAAATTTCCTATCTTAAAATTTGTAAGTATTAATTCAGAAACTTTGGATTTGTGTTTGAACTAAATCAAGTAAGAAATTTTACATTCTATGTAGGCCAATTTTAGGTTAAAAAAATAAGTGCAAAGATTTGTTTTGTAGTTGTAGTTTAATGTTTGCATAACCTTGTTTGGTAGCTAGGCTTAGTGGAGTTAAGCAACATACAAGATTTCACTGGTAGAAAGTGACTAAAGATGCTCTGATTTCAAATTTGTTTTTATACTACCATACTGATTTACATTAGAAAAGAAGCCTGGATTCTTCAGTGTCACTAAATAGTAGTTAAAGAACCCAGGGCTGGTCGCTCTGCCTCTCTCATCCCCAGTTCCCTCATTTGTAAAATGAGGGAAGGTATTAGGTGTAAGGTTTAACTAGGATAGAATGTGTAAAGCACTTTATATGATCTCGGTTACATGCTAGATACTCAAACGTTGGCCCCTGACTCCCAAATCTGTGAGGGAATTTTTTTTTTTTCATTGATTTTTAGATACAGTGGAAGGGATAGAGGGAAGGAGGGGGAGAGAGAGAAGAAAAACATCCATGTGAGAGAGACACATCAGTTGGTTGCCTTCTGAAGGACCCAGACCAGGGCCGGTGATCAAACCTGCAACCCAGGTATGTGCACTTGACCTGGAATCGAACCCAAGATGCTTTTGGTCCACAAGCCAATGCTCTAACCACTGAACAACCAGCCAGGGCTAAATGAGGGAATTTAACCAAACCATTGCCAAGGCCTTAGTGCCAACTCTCTAGCCACCAGTGAATTGCTAGAACTAATTATTTTGATAACCTTGTGGCCATATATAC